TTTGGCAATTCTTCTTCCCAAGGTAGGGCTTCTACGAACTCCAACTCAAGAAACACGTCGGGCCAGTAGAACTTGTAGCTGCTTTTACTCCTGATGAAATGGGCGATGTACCCTCCCCACTTCAAGAGTTGGCCTATCGACTCTTTCGTCACCCCGGAGATGCATTCTGACCCAACGATACTTTGTTCGTTGGATGTGTCTGAGGCCTTAGAGGACCTAGAAAGTGAGTGGTCGGCAAGGGACCCTCATGAGTCCTGGGTGGCACTAAGTAGTGGTCCTAGAAGGGAGCATTTCGTAGTGGAAGTTGGTGTAGGTGGCCGCAAGCGTGGTGCCTTCGTAGACATTGGCTCTACATGAAACTTCATAAGTCACGACTGCATTGAGAGACTGCGCCTAAAGCACCGGGTGCAACGCCTAAGTAGACCAGTAGCATCTACTTTGGCCAACAAAGAGCGCATGTTGGTAAAGGACTACGTCAGGGACGTGGTCTGCACCTTTTCTTATGGAGGTGGGGAACTTAATCATAAGAAACACACATACACATGAACACATACACACACACGGAGACATGCATGTTAGAGAGGTGGAAGAGGGGAGCGTCAATTGGGGGTCGCGGAATGCTTTACATGCACACATGCTGCTGGAAAATAGAAGCATTAGTGGGGAGCCCCCAATACATTAGTTTGCAGGCCTGAATAATGCTTCTGTGTGTCGTCATTTTCGCTATACACTCAAAAAAAGCATGACTGTGCCAGACTGTTTCGTCGGACTTTCACCGACTCATCATGCGGTTGTCTGCATGTAAAGCATTTTGCAACCCATCAGCACTCCCCCTCCTCTGCGCCTGGCTTTGATTTGAGACTGGGGAGCCCCAATGTGGGTTGGGAGATGCCTTATGCACACATTGCGAGGAGGGAGAGTGCTGATGGGGGCTGCAAGGTACTTTCAAGTGCACGTTGGGGGGGTGGCGGAACAGTTGATCCATTTGTGAGATCCTTCGCATCCGTGTTCGGTAACGGGAAGCCATGCACAGGTCAAGATACTTCACATGCACAATTGGGAGTGTGGGAGTGTCAATGACTCTCACAATCTGCTTTAGGTAGGGAAGAGGGAAGGGGAGTAACACAGGTGTTCATTCGGGGACGAAACCCAAGGACTTCGCTTCGCAGATGAACCGCAGCCATTTGTCCAGCAGACAAGGCACAGGGGCCACAAATGGGCTTGTCAAGTGGATGAAGGACAGAGTGGCCCTCCGAACATCAGACCAAGGAAGCATGGGTCGAAAGTTCTCAAAACCATCCAGTAATATCGGCTACTACGGTAAGACATCAACGGGTGAGAGCAGAAATCGCAGGGTCAGCCCTTGCCCAGTGTTGGAGCAGCAGCATCTGAAACCGCAACCCCTGTCCCCATTTTCTTTCAGTGTCGAGTCTTTTGTGGTTTTCCTGGGTTCGCCGGGGTTCGAACCCAGGACCTGTAGGCAGGATCTCTGTACGGAAAAGTGTAGAATAACCCTTACCAGAACAATAGAGCTAGACGCTTCTGTAGATAGACTAGGTATGCCGACACTGGAAAGCAGCTCGTCAAAAGTGACAAGCTGCGCAGGCGAACCAACAAATTTTTCATTTGACATGTTTGCCTGCGCTGGACGAAGAAGGAGCTTTATTGTTAGCTCTACCAGGAGCAGGGAATTTGGACGCGCAGACATGGCCAGACAATTTTTATGGCAGACTACCACATCATTTTCAACTCTGCTTGATGCTGTGTAAATCAGGGCAGCTAGGCACATATTCCCTGTGGACATAAGAACTTTCGTGTGTGATAGCTTCCAATCTATTGTGAGTCTGAAAGTTTTGCTGAATCATGGCATTGAATTGCACGAAGTCCAGCATTGAATTGCACAAAGTCCTGAATCATAGCACCTGGTGTTCATGGAGAATGTATGTCGACACTGCAAGAGAGCATGCGCCATCTAATTGTTGTTGCTGCAGTCTCAGAGTCACCTCAACTGTTATAAAAATGTTTTCAGATCTGGTCGCTGGTCCAACGGTGTGCATAACAGAATAGTGGATGCATCATGGCATGATCATGCTAACGGCATGATGATGGTAAATCCTGAATTAGTTAAACAATCCTACAAGGCCTACTCCGCTACTCGTCTGATGAACACACACACACATGCACACACGCAAGCACACACACACACACACACGCACACACACACACACACACGCACACACACACACACACACACACACACACACACTTATAAAAAAAAAAAAAAAAAAAAAAAAAAAAAAAAAAAACCCATCCGGCACAGCCATGCTTTTCTTGTGCAGCTGTGTATAGCGAACACAACAACACACAGAAGCAATCATACTATTATCTTATATTGCAACTCCTTTTTCTTATACTCCCACGAGCTTTCTCTATGTTGTTGTCTACTTGCTATGCAGTTTGGCCTTTTCCCGTGTCTTTCCTAAGTACCGTAGTCCAGTGCCTTTTAAGTTGTGCCAAATAGTCAGTGCCCGTTTATACAGAATGCCTGAAATACTACTACGTTCTTAACCCGAGAAAAACGTATGTACCTTGTATACGAATACAACATATGGGGTACGTTGTATTCGAATACAACGTACGTACGTTATAGAACGAGTTTTAGGGTACAACTTCTCAGAAGCCTGTAGTACCGCCATTGTTTTTATTTTTATCTCAAATTTGGTTGGGAATTTCGCCAAGACCCTCAGCCAAACGTTGTTTGCATTGCTTTGTACAACATACTTTTTTTTTCCGGATTTTTTACTGAAGTTTTTTTTTTCAAATCGAAATTCTGGAAAAATCAGTAAAAAACATTTTCATCCTCGTTTTTATTTTTTTCTCGAATTTTCTCGTGAATTTCGATAAGACCCTCAGGCAAACGTTGTTTGTACTGCATTGTTGTATAATTTTTTATTTTTTTTCGGATTTTTTTTTTTTTTTTTTTGAAAAATCAAAGTTCCAAAAATTTGAACACAACATACGTACGTTGTATTTGAATACAACGTACGTACATTATATTCGAACGTACGTTCTATTCGGGGAAAAACAAGCGATTTCTGAAAACCCGATTTCCAGAGGTAATTCGAATAGAATGTACGTACATTTTTTTCGGGTTAGGAAGGTAGGGGAGGGTCTGTGTTTCGAATGTTTGTGTGTGTTTTCCGCTGGTGATGAACATTCGTTGGGTGGCCTCCTGGCTCTTGATGATGGTGTGAACCAACAGTCTGCTGGGTTTTCCATATGATTTGAGTGGGTAATAGTCCACTTCGTTCCTTGCTGAGTCCATGGGTTCTCGCGTTGCTGGTGTCTTGCAGTGCGGGTGTCCCGCCCATGCGCCCACCTGCGCACCCGCCTACCTTGCCATGCAGTGCCTTGCTCGATCACTGCTTGTTGTGCTGCATTGTCGCATGCCTTGTCTTGCCCTGGTTGCCTTGCTTGCTGCTCGCCATGCTGCTGCTTGCCTCACTGCTCACCACCTTGCTGCTTTGCTGCCTTACTGCCTTGCTGCCTTGCTGCCTTGCCGCATTGTTGCCTTGCCATCCAGTGCTTTGTTCCATCAATGCTCACTATGCTGTCTTGCTGCTTGCCGTGCCTTGCTGCGTTGTTCCCTTGTTGCTTACCATCCTGCCCCATCCCATCCCTTGGCTTGCTGCTTCAGTGCCTTGCTGCACTCTTGGCCCACTCTTGCCCTAGTGCTCTGCTGCATTGTGCTGCTCTGCAGCTTGCCTCGCTGCCCTGCCTTGTTGCCTCCCTGCCCTGCTGCTTGCCGTGCTGCATTGCTGCTCGCCGTGCTGCCCTATTGCTTGCCTTGCCTTGGCTGCCCTGCTGCTTGCCTTACCTAGCTCCCTTGTCGCTTTGCTCCTCACCTTGCTCACTGCCTTGTTTCGTCTTGCCTTAGCTCTTTGCTGTGCTTCCTCTTGCCTTAGCTCTTTGCTGTGTTTCCTCTTGCCTTAGCTCTTTGCTGTGTTTCCTCTTGCCTTAGCTCTTTGCTGTGTTTCCTCTTGCCTTAGCTCCTTGCTGCATTGTGCTGCCCTGTGGATTGCCTTGTTGCCTTGTTGCCTCGCTGCGCTCTGCCTCGTTGCCTTGCTGCTCACTGTGCTGCCCTATTGCTTGCCTTGCCTTGCCTTGCTCTGGCTTCTTAAGTACCCCGGCACCCACCCTCCTGCCCGTCTGCCCACCCGCTTGCCTTGCTGCCTGCCCGCTTTACTGTGCGCTACATGTTGCCTTGTCGATGTTCCGCTGCGTGCTTTCCAGTTTTAACCCATCAGCAACAGCGTTCAAGGCTTAGCTATGACTCGAAACATTGTGAGCAGATCATCCAAACTGTTCAGGGTTCCGCCTCCTAATGCATCAGTGCTAGTCTGACAGCACCAAACATCATTACTCTTGTTCTCTTTGTCTGTGTCGTATTCTCAAGTGCTGTCTGTTTCTGTTCTTTGTATCTGGGACCTTTGGGAATAGTCCTGCCAGCTTATGTTAATGTTGCATAGCAACCATCTCCTGCATAGCCAATGGGATAAATAGTAAGGGAGCTTGATTATGGCCGGAACTAGGCCACCGCAAAGTCTGCCGGCCAACATAGTGGGTAGGTTCTGCTGTGAATTGTATGAACAAAAACAACCTGTCACCTGAAACAGTGGTCCCACTGGATTCTGTGGGGGTTTTGTAGCGGTTTGCACTATGGGTTGGCAAACAACTGGAGAAACACAGACACACAATTCAGAAAGACAGATGATTCCAACGAGTCAGCAAACAACTGGAGAACTGTTGGCAGCTTTCTTAACCAACAGTCTTTCCTGATACCCTTTGCAAACACATCCCATAGGAGGAAGAGAAGCAGCTGCGGGAGCTGCAGAAAACCAACAACACCAAGGCCAATCAAGGGAGAAAGAGCGATGAAGAGGTGAGACTGAATTGCAGCTGTCGTGGTACATACATTTCCTCCAAAGCTTCTGGATCACCTTGCACTTCGCCATGGACGGTTCCCGATGCCGTGTTACGGCACCAGCCAACTAAGCCCAAGGACTCTGCCTTTTCACTGGTGTACATTCGGAAACACACCCCTTGGACCTGAGACAGTGAGAACGCAAATTGAAACAAGAAGAGAAAAGAAAAACGGAAAAACGAAAACGCACAGGCAGCATACCAAGGTTCACCAGCAACGACAACATCAACCATTAGAGTAGTCCATAACAACCAAGCAGACGAAACATAAAATATGCACAGCCACAGTCCTGTTCTATGCAGTTGCACTACCAAGCACAATGGGCGCTGCAAACATTTTCGCAAGTAGAAGAATCAAGTCATAAAAATCGATGTTTCTGGGAGTGGGGAGTTAGTAGATGCAGCACAACTCATCTCAGCTCAGCTCAGCTCAGAGTCTCAGACCGGGGGGAGTTCGTATATGCAGCTCAGCTCAGCTCAGTCTGAGACCGATGCGGCTTCAACAACACGAAAGACATCATGCAACTTTGTCGAGCACAATCCAAAGAGTGCACTGCATAGCATATAATGAAAGTTATTAACACAGAAGTTAAAAAGGCCAGGGTGAGGAGGCGGACCATGCTGGCCCTGATGACACTGTGATCGCAACAACACCAGACAACGTGGTAGGCAATGCACAATTGTGTATTTGGTTAGGTAGCATCCATAGCCCTGATGTTTGAGAGTGTCCACGCTGTAGTACGTAGGCTGGATCTGAAGTAAAACTGAGTGAATGCAGAGAGAGTGATAGCATCAAGGAAGGCAAGGGACTTAGTGCCAAGTGAAGTCATATACAAGAGGTAACCCAGCAAGACCTCCACTACTGGCAGATGGGGAGCAAATGGAGGGGTGTCAAGAAGAGCTGCAGCACACCCCAAATATTCTTAGAAAAGATCTTTCGGAAGCCTCCAAGAACTGCACAAATCATATCGGAAACCCCCACTAGTCCTTTGACTCCTTTCTTTATAAGCATGCCCATAAGATAAAATAAAAGAACTGGGAAAGAAAACGGGCCTCCGTGCTCAATAATCAAGTCAGGCCTGTGACCAGGGAGGAGGGGAGGGGGCTGCTGGTAACCAGGCCGGTCATAAAAGGTTGTGGCGATCTACTCTATACACAGTACCCAGGACAAACTGCTGACTTTTTTTATTTTTTATTTTTTAACACCAAACAGGGCCTTATGGTAGAAGCCCTCACCCAAACAAATGCACCCAAGGGACACCGCTCGGAAGAGTTTTCATTCGACAGTTATACAGCTCTTGCACATAGCAGCTCCTCCCCCAAACTCGGCACACATCTAACGAGCAATTTGGAGGAAACCCACAGCCGGGGCAGGCCATGGGGGTTAAACCACCAGTACTTGGCCCAGCTATCGGCCGCGGAAGAAAATAGTACAGTAGAAAAAACGTTTCTAGTTGGATGAATTTGGGCGCTCCTGTACTGGCATGTACGTTCCCTACAATCGTGGCTTGTTAACGGGCACAACTTTAGGAAGTACTGGTGGTTTGAAGCTGCTGCTGCTGCTGCTGCTGAGACCAGAGCCATCCATGGCATTTTCGGAACCAAAATTAATAAATAACGTATCCATGAAGACCCACAGCATCTTGCTGCTACCAGCAAAATGCAGTTGGTCTTCATGGAAAATTTTGGTTTTCATTAGAAAACACAACGCATTGGCTGGAACGGATCCAAAATAAAATGAAATTCTATGTATAAAAGTTATGGCCCTTGCGGGTACCGGACAAACTTTGATAAAAGTCAAAAAAGAAAACGGAAAAAAAAAAAAATGCGCACACGGTTGGTCTGGCCCCCACTCCAAGGGACAGTTGGCCGCAGAGAGGTCCCTAACAGAGTTTGAAATTTGAATTTTCTCTTGTCAAGCTTGGTGGTACTCAGGAAACGTAAACTGCTACACAACCATAGCAGAAGACCTAATTCCTCCTCTGCTATTCTGCGCTTATCACTAATAGCAAAGTATCCCTTAGTCGTATGAGCTCCCTAGGGTGAGAAGCAGGCAGCACGGGGACGGTAGGGCCCGAGTTCCAGGTCCGCAAGGTTAAGGGCCGGTAAGGCCACGTGGAAATCCGGTAACACTGCTTGAGCCCATATGAAGTCCCTAGGCTAAGCACCAGGCAGTACAGTGATGGTAGGGCCTGTGTCCCGGATCCGCAAGGTTAAGGCCCGGTAAGCGCACGTAGAGATCCGGCAACACTGCCTGAGCCCATATCAGGCCCCAAGGCTGAGCACCAGGAAGCACAGTGATGGTAGGGCCCGAGTCCCAGGTCCGCAAGGTTAAGCCCCAGTAAGCGCACGTGGAAATCCGGCAACACTGCTGGAGCCCGATGGGTTTCGGGAACTTTCGGCAGGAATCTGTAGACTTCCGGTATGCACTACCTGCTGGCAAGAAGACCCGGCCACTGTACATAAGTCAAGCCCGGGCCTGTAGAGGGGATATTCGAACACCAGGTCACCAACAGGCTAATACAGAGCTACCGTCTTCACCCGAATAGAACGCCCAGTCATTATAGCCGTATCTGGGCCAATTTTCTGTCCAGATGCAGCAATAAAGACCGGGCGTTCTATTCGAGTGACGACGGTGGGTCAACGCGTGTGAATAGGGGGGAAGGGACAGCTGTGCAGTCGCCAGCGCCATAGTAGTAGACGCTGAGCCATTTGACGGGATCTTGCCATTCGACTCTTGCCTGTAGCGCTTCGAGATGTCATTTAGTCTTTTGCCGCCAATACGATAGGTGATCTGCCCCAATGTACATCCGCCACTCCAACTAAGGCCGTGCTGGTTTTGACCGAAAGGAGGCAGAGGGCCGAAGGCCAGCGTGCATTCACATGCTTCCCCAAGTGCACGAGGCTGAAGGGCAGACGGCTAGGGCGATGAGAAGACGAGGAGGTGGAGGAGGATAAGAAATGGCCGGGCAGGACTTGAGGGGTGAAGGGAGGGTGGAACACAAATGAGGAGGAGGTGTGGGGAGGAGTACGACGAGAGGAGGAATGCCCCTTACAAGGGGACCATGGCAAGAATATCGGAAATTGCAGAGCGAAAGACGGGAAACGAAGATTATAATAAGAACAAGCAGGTGCAGCCAGCGCAGCTTGCACCCGCGAACACCGTCAGGAAGCAACCCCAATGAAGAATCTCACTTCCCTCTTTCTGTCTCTGACTCTATGTTTTCTTTGTTAGTGTATGGCTGGTGCTTTCTGTATCACTGTTTTAGCTCTTGGCGTCTTCTGTCTTTCTAAGTGTTTGTGGAAAGCAGAATAGTAAACAGCAATGGTCACAAACAGCAAGGTCATACACAGTCACACACAGAATAGTAAACCGCAACGAATCTTCAACGATTCGAAGAACATTATCATCGTCACCGAGAAAGAGACGACTCTTTTTTTTTTTCCTTTCTCATTTGTTTTTCCTGTTACACACACAGCGTCAGAGCTCCCTGGAACTTTGGGAGCTCGCACCAGTCTGACAGTACATGCGGAAAGGAGTTACC